CTTACTTTCTGGCGCAGTGAACTTAGTGGTCTTCTGCACAATGGCATGGCTTCTTGGGGCAGGAGATAGTCCCCAGCAAAACACAGGACCTAAACATGAGAGCAGTCTTCCCTTCATCTTGGGCCAAAGAGAATTGATTTTAAGCCTCATCTAGTTAGTCAAAGGAATAGGCTGACACATGAAAGCAGTGAGTCTATATATAAAAAGGCATGTTCTTGTCCTGCTTTGAACTTTTGTCTTTTATGTTCTAAGCAAGGATGGCAAGAGTGGTGCAGCAGTACTGTTTTTCTTAATTGTAGAATAACAAGAAAGACAAACATGAACATGACTCCTAATCCATTTAAGCTCTTCAGACACGTATTGAGTTCCTAATCACACTAAAGGATGCTCTTTAAATCCAGTTCCTCCTTACAGTTTACCTATGTCTTAATAGATAAACTTATCTCATTCAGCTTTTCAGCTTCCTGAATCTATTTCTCACAAGTCAGATTCCTCACACTGGACGTAAATAGAAGATGCAGGTTTCTGAATTGCATTAGGCTGCTCAGTGTCCAAATACTTGCTGCTGCCAGAGCGAGCACTCTGTAGCCCCTCACAAATCTGTCCCCAAGTACATCTATGCAGTGGTACAGGCACAATGTAGTTTCTCTACTAATGAGCCATGCAAATGCCAAGTGCTGTTCTATCCCTGCCTAGGAATAAAGCAATTTCTTATCTTTTAAGGAGCATTATCAGTGTATCTAGAACAAAGCTTTCATTTATTTTTTTATCTAAAGTGCATCAATAAACAGGCTCAGATGGGGTCCATATTTTCTGACACAGAAGATTCTAGGAATAGGCTGTAGCTGCAAAAAAGCTTTTAAGAGGAATTAGCCGGAAATTCTTTGGCAGACAAAGGTAAGCTGGAGGTCAGCTAGAAAAAATATTTTCATCAGTCATTTCCTTTGCACCACAGCTGGGGAATGTGCGGCCCGTGACTTCATTTCATACAGCCTGTGGCCATTCAACTTACTGTCAGATAACATCAAAATGGGAGTTAACATGTAGCCTGCAAAAAGCATTCAGAAGGCATTCAGGTTTCAGTGGTTCCCCAGCCCTCCTTTCTCCATGCTGCACACTCAAGCCCTGTACGTAAACCTATAGAAACAGAAGTTTTAGCCATCTAGCAAAGTAAATTTAAAGCAAAAAATCACTAAAATGGTGTTCACATGTGGGGGGACCATTTCAACCCCAGATCAGCTTAAAATCCTGAGATTTTGCCCTGTGTCAAAAACTCCTTATATATGTCTGTATGGGTCTTTTGGCTAATTACCATTAGACTTTTAGCAGCAATCTGCTGCTACAGATTGTTGCTACAATTGTTCTATTTATTTGATTAAGGATTAAAAAATACCTGGTTTAACATAAATATTAAGATTGCAAAAGGGCAATTATGAAATCTATTTATTCTAATTATAACAAGGTAGTATAAAACCAAAGACATCTTACTTTTTTACGTATTATATTTTATGTAACCATTAAATTGATTATGTAGTCACCTACATGTGGACTAGAGCCTTTGGACAGTTTTCTCTTTTTTTTTTTTTTTTTTTCTGTTACTAAGTATCATTATCAAGTGTTTTATGCCTCAGACATGGCCTACTTCAAAGTTCTTTCACCTCCTTGACGCTACTGAAGATGTGTTCCTGAAACACCACCTTGCTGCAGGGAGGGTAATGAGCTACACTTTTTCCCCTGGTTTATATTTCCAGCCTGGTCACTGAAGACCATTCCTTGCATTTTGGAGGTAGTCTTCTCATTTTCATAACATGAAGTGGTGCTCTCAGTGTGGGTCTAAATCATAGTCTCAATTCTCAATTTCAGCAGAGAGGTCAAAGGTTGAAGGAATAGTCGTCATGATCCTTCCCAGGGTGGGATAAGGCATTTTATCATGTGCTGCTCCAGAAGGGGCAGTTTGCACCACTGTACTTCTGTGAAAAAGGGACATTCACTATCGAGAAACAGCTATGCAGGGCTATATTCACTTGAAAACAAAGGCCAGTAACCAGAAGAGTGAGAGGGAGTGTTATCACAAGATGTCCAGTAGAAAATGCTGTTAAGATCACAGGAGTTTCCCAAAGCGACTGTTGAGATCCGCCCCTAGCAAGCTCTTCTCCCTGCCCCTAAAGCCCCATCATCCCAGTCCCATGCTGCTGCTGCTTAACAGGGTAGGGGGCGCTCCCATCCCAACCCAGCAAAGCCCCTGACGTGTTCCCAGCCATGGTACACTCTCCACCCACAGCACCTGCCCTCTGGGCAGCACACCAGTCTCCTCTCCAGCAGGGAATATACAGAAGATAGAGATTTAAGGCACACCCATGTTCCTGCTGTTGCAGCTTTCACCACACAATCTGCACACCGGCACAGGTCTTACTCCTACATCGTATAAACTGATTTCTCTGCTTTCATGCCACAGCTCTGATTTCACATATATTTCAGTGCACGTGAGAAACCTTCTGGACTAAAATAGATCTATTCAGCATATTTAAAGGGAAACACACCCACTTGCAAGGTGAGAGATGAAGCAAAGCTCCAGATATGCTGTAGCACAAGTGAAAATAGAACATCCCAAAAGCAACAGGATAGTTGCTGCCCTTTGTCTCCATTATTCTGTTGCCTGTTAGTAAATTGCCCAGCAGTCCCCACTGTAATAACATGTTGACAGTAGTATATGAAGTTACAAAATTAACCTTTGGGGCTCTAATTTTTCAAGGCAGACTTCTATCACAGCAGGAAGGCTCTCCAGAAAACTTCAGCCAAAGCAGTCGATTAAGGCACAAGAATGTGATTAAAGCAGAAAGGTTTTCTGCAGGCTGATGTCTAAGTATTTAGAAAAAAATAAATAAAATGTTGTCATACCTGTGTTTCTGAACAAAGACTTGGTGAGGCAAGTTATCTTTTCCTGCAGAACACATCTATGAAAACCTGACCAAACAAGCAGCCGGAATAGATCCATCAGTTTGCACATATCCATAGGAAACATTAGGTTGCAGAAACAGTACTACAGCAGCATAGCATGCTTGGGACTGCTGGGGTCAGGCAGAATTTGTCTACTGGTGCAGAAATACTGGGTGCAGGTTCAAGAAACCACAAGAATGAAATCTGTGAAATGTCAAAAATACAGTAGCCATGAAAAGGATCTGACAAGGAGGCCAGGCATCAGGAGCAAGGGGGAGGCAGCCTCCCCAAGATCATCTCCTGTCCTACTCCACAGCTTTGAGACTGGGTCATTTCTCAGCTTCTTAACCCAGCTCATTAGCCCAACCACAACCAGAAGGGTAATGGCAAGATACCAACGGGTGCAGAGCTGGCACTTAGGGACTGGCTCCAGTTGGGCAGGGTTGTAAGCCAGGCATACAGCACAAGGGCTGTGCTCCATGTGCACCATGTTGTATGAGCAGCAGCCCCCAGCTGTTTGCATCCACTGCCTTCCTCACCTCCCTAACAACTTAAGGACAATTCTTTACTTACTGGCCAGAGAGCCTTTGGGCGAGTTTAGTGAAAGTTCTGTAATAAGACATTTCCTGGCTCTCAAAGTCCATTTTCAGCTAACACTAAAAGATTGTCAGGAGGTGAAAAAAAACAAACAAAAAAAAAAAAACCAAACACATAAAATCTGCCAAAGGGCTGCTGCAGAGCTTTGCAGTTCATGAGCCCACAGACTGTAAATGATACTTGGCCCTTACGTTATGACATAACTCTCTGCTTAAAATAAGCACATCCAAAGCAGCCTTTATTAATTTGAGTGCTGGCATGCAATGCATGAGCCTCCGATGCAGGGCCTGCCAGCACAGGCTGGGGTTAGGGGGAGTGTCCCTGAGTCCCTCCCCCCCAGCCCTCCTCAGCCACCACTGAACTGAGTTTGACAGTCTCATCAAGGAATCACAGAATGGTTTGAGTTGGAAGGGACCTTTAGAGATCATCCAGTTCAATCCCTTGCTGGGGCAAGGCCACCCAGAGAAGGCTACACAGGAATGAATCGAGGCAGGTTTCGAATGTCTCCAGGAGAGGGAGACTCCACAACCTCCCTGGGCAGAGTGTTACAGTGCTCACTGCAGCCCATACTAGGGGAAGTGTAAGGGCAAACCCAGCCCGCTGCTTTAGACGGTTTAGGAGGATACTTTGCATGAGAAAGACAAGCAGGGCTCCAACACGTTCCTTCCACTGGGAAAGCAGGGATGCAATCCGCCCCCCAGGCAAGGAGGGAACCCTAAACCCAGCATTATTCAGGGCGAGAACAGCACACCTACTCATACAGCAGCTGAACTTCGTATATCTGCTGCTATGAGGCTTAACATCACAAAGAGGGGATTTAGCAGAACATTTCGAAGGCGCTATCAGTACGCTGCGTCAGAGCTGCTGGGGACCCCCGGCTATGACCCATGCAGTTAGGTGATGCAACGTCAGTGCCAGTTCTTCCCCGGAGGCTGGGGTTTTAACACAGTTTCCAGGTACATCGATATATGTTAAAGATTAAAGCTGGGAACACCTCACCCAGCTGCTTGCGGGTACTGGCTAAATTAAATCAGGCATCCTGCACAGGGAACGCTCTCCTAATCGGATTGTGGCAGCAGAACTTCTTTTTTAGCACACTTTGAAACAGCACACCCAAACCAAACTGATTCCAGGAAAGTGAGCAACTTTCACAGGTAAACCTGTTGCAATGCTTGCAAATATACTTTAGAGCCAAGTTCCCTTACAGATCACTACCCAGAACGGTGGGGATTAAACGTCAGTGCTAAATAAAATGTAACAGAGGAACTTTCTGCCAAATCCCTCCAGCACCGTTTGTGATACAGGTAGATTAATTTTAAGAACATGCAAGTGAGAGCATTCATACACTGACGGGCTCAGGCTTAGCTGTGGTCGTTGTGACTGTCCCAGCAGTAAAGGAAATACTTGGCACATGTTCTTCCTCTTCTTTTTCTAACCCTGACCAGACGGCGGTGAGTTCTGTCAGGTTTTCATCCAGCTTGCAGGTAAAGGGTTACAGATTCTAGGAAGTATTAAATGCAAACTTTGAAGGATTTTATTTTCATCTACAGTCACATGACACCTTAATACCCAATGACACCAACTACAGTGTCTCATTAAGAGGTCATGCAAACTCTCAAGCTAAACAAGGCATTCTTACATATTTAACATTCAAATGCAGAAGCCAAGCTAAGCCATGGAAGATTGTAATCAGAAAAAAGCTACACTTCCTGATCCACACAAAAGCTGCAGGTAGGAAAAGTTCTTCTTCCTTTAAACTTGTAACGTTGGGCTTTTAAGAGAAATTATTTAGAGAGCATATTTTGTACTCCTTTTTTAGCTTTCAAAATAATCTAATAGTTTTATCCTGAAAATATCTGATCTCGCTTTTTCCACCTGTTGTAGATTCAGTGTTGTTTTTATTCTCAGAAACACACTCGGCTCAGCAGAAATCAAAACAAAAGATATTTTAAAGCCAAATTTACATTAAAAAGTAGTATTTTTAGAGATTTCTTAGTTCTTGAAGTGGTTGTGTTAGAGTTTGTGGGGTAAAGGGGGAGTTAACATATCTTTGGTGTCTGCAGTGAAGGGATTTAGAACTCTTCTGACCTTACTTATATCATGAATTACACATTGTTTCAGTTACTTCAACCCAAGTGTATTTCAATGGATGTGGCTTCCTCACTGAAAAAAAGGATTTCTCATTTTCCCACCTAGAATTTGGTGAATTTAAAACAAAAAAATCTTACAAAAGCAAACGAAAGGCAGATGGGGAGTATTGCTGTGCTCCATAAAAAGAGGAAAAAATTACAAAACAGGGAGTAAGAGGAAAGTCAGTTAAAACCCACTTAATCAAGAATTTAAATTGCATTCAAGCATATCCATTTTCACATGCAGTGATAAAGTTTCACTGAGAATTGCTGCCAATATTGCAGGAGTTCATGGTTTTCCCTTTGTGTGGAAGGGTTTTTCCAGGGTACAGCATTAGCATTTTTATCACAAAGACCTTTTTCACATCACAGTTTTTCTTTAAACTGTAATTGTTTTCAGTGTTCTAAATACTCAGCATTTTAATCCCTTTAGAGGAATGCAGTTAGAGACTACATTCTATACAGCTACAGAATCTATATTGACTGAAAGATACATAAGATGTCCACGCCCTGAGGATTCCCACTGCACAAAATCAGCAAGCAGTGTTGATTATTTTACTCCTGCAATAACTGAGTGGTGATTGTAAGCGATGTATTTTTTTCCTCAGTTTATTGTATAAACCCCATTTTTATTTCTTCCTCATATAGGAGATACTAAGGAGCAGTGAACAGTAATAGCTAAAGCAACTAGCTGCAGATAAGCTCTCATTTTTGTTTGAAAACAAAACAAAAAAAAAACACCCAAAACACAGGGTTTGGTTATTACCAGCACATAAAAATAAATCTGAAAAAAATTGAGCCTAAACAGGTTTACCAGTAGCACCTCAAAAAATGAATATTGTCATTCACTTTCAGGGTGCCTATCTCGAAAATAGTAGGTGTAATGCTGAGGAGAGCCAAGACCCAAATCTGGCCTAGCATGTTTAGCCTGAGTCATCAAACATCTTTTTATCAAATTGAACCGTATCCTTGACCCCCCTCAGCAGAGTCACTCACAACCGCGCTGGTGGGAACACAACAAGAAGCCACTACACTTTGACAGAACTGTTCCAAATTTACTATAATTGACCTCTGAACTTAAATTCTTTACAAAAATATGTTTAGAAACTCTTTTAGATAAGGGGCTTATTTGCTAAGCTAAATTTAAATCTCAGGGGAGTGAGAGGAGCGCACCCGCTCCCAAATAAACAGCCAACCTTTTAGAAAGGCTTTGCCTGAGGAGGAATGTTGCACCTGACATGCTAGGAACAGCCTGCCATGGCCAGTCCCTTTTCAGAAATGTTTGTACAAATCAGGTGTGTCGTGGTAAACCAGCACTCAGTAACTCAGTAGTTAGATCTGTCGAATGTCAATCACACAAAGAATTGTTGTAGGGTAGAAGGTAGAATGGACACAAGTTACTCTGTGACCAGACAGGCTGGACACTGAATGAGAGGAAGCCATAACTCCTTTCCTAAACAAATACAAATGAAGCATCTGCTGTCTAGCACTCTAATAGTTCAGATGGTTTATTACACCCATGATTTTACTGATTCCTTACAAAAGGAATTTGTACTCTTCTAATTATTACCTTTTCTAATTAAACGAGCCAACCTATTCTCCTGTTTTTTCACATGAATCTGGAGTCAAATGTAGTGTTGTTTCACGGGGAAGACACAAATCAAACACTTCCATCTCATAAACAAGGAAAGAGAGAGGTTCTTGGAAACTGAGATTACTGTAAACCTAAGAAATATTTTTTCACTTGGATTTTGGAGGAAGTCCAGCAAACATAAAAATCGAAACACTACCAGAGCTTTGGAACAGTTTTCTCTTTACCCCAAAACCAGAGCTAAACCGAGCGTTGATCAAAAGCCAATCCAGATCTTTCAAAAGCCTTGCAAAGCTCAGAAAACTTGTACCAGATTGAAGGCTAATACAGAAAATCACCAACCCAGTGATTTTTGCAGAGCTCTAGATAGGCGGGCAGATGGCAAAACCTGCAAGTGAAGGGAACTATGGCTTTATTGGAATGCCTGGTTGAAAGTGGTCACTGTGCAAGGTTAACGTGTGAGTGCTGAGGCCCTTCTTAACCACATGATTGTTTCTATCTGATCTCAAGGAAACAAACTTACTTAAACTATTTGCTCTTAGGCTTTACTGAAGGAAAGCCAAGGAAAGGCTTTCTTCACGTCTTTCAGGAAGGGATGGTCTTTTGCTAAGTTTGCACAGTATCTAGTTAAACATGGCCTCAGCATTGTCTACATTTTCCACTGATACCGTTTCACAAAAGACTTGGGGTGGTGGAGGCTCAACACAGGCAACACACTGAAACATGATGAAATGTAGTCAGGCAATAAATACTTGTTTGGAACTTAAAATTCCTCCTTCAGACTCTGTTTATCTGAATATTATATATGGTCATCTATCAGCAGAGTATGCCCATGATTTCCACATAACACAGTTGTTGTGGGGAGGGCACAGCTAACACCAAGCAGGAGGCCAAATCCCCATTGTTCCTTAGCCAGGACTAAGCTGGCACCTCATTTAGCACCTGATCATGCCAGAGAAGTAATGACAAAACTTCATGCCCAAGCAGTGATGCATGGAAATCACTGATTTTTGCTGAGCTACAGAAGGGTGCTGGCAAGCAGGATGTATTGCTAAGGAGAACAGGTAACAAACATGTAGTTTTACTTACTGAAAGTTTGATACTAAAATGAACAAAAGAAATGAGCTTTTGTGGAAAGGTCAAAAGGGATTATTGGAAAGGGGAAAAAAAAGGCAGCAATTTTCCTGTGAGCTCTCCTCTGAGTCAGTTTCACTTAGACATTTGGAGGAACTTAAAATTTTACTGAGACGAGTACACTGTTTGGAAACTAAACGTTTAATCACTTACAGCAGGAAGCAGGGAAGAAAAAGGCCGAAGTTTTCTTTTTGTGTGACGTTTTTCTGTCTGCAGTTTTTACACAAGTTTGTTTAACTTCCTTTTTTTTTTTCACTTCAACCACAGATGTTTGCTGCAAAGCCACAGATGCTTTCTGGTTAGAAAAAATATTTCTGGTTGACTATTCTATTATTAATTCACATAAGTCACTTTTCCATTTGGGAGAGCAAGGAGTAAGCCATTTCCTTGGGGCTTATTTTTCTAGTGTTACCAACTGGGCCTGGCTCAACTTTGCATCATTTCCCAGCTATTTAATATAATTGTGTATTTCTATTCAAGAGCAGTTACTTGTCTGATTTTATGTAAACAAGGTCCAAAGGCTTGCTATAGCAGGAAAGCTGCTTTTTCTGAAAGAGCTGAGTAAGAAAGACAAGAGTATCCTATGTCAAGGATACCACACATCCAGTGACTTGAAAACCTCTTCAATCTGAAGTCCACTATGGCAACTTTTCATACTGGCTTCGGTGGGAACAGTTATCAAGTCCTGACACTGTCAACAGAGACCAGGAGAAAAAGAAATAGCCCAATGCAAGCTGTGCCGATGCTACCCTGCTGCCAGTCGAAACCACCCATTCAAACAGTTTCACCTGTGCTGGACAGAAGCTCTCCAGACTGTTTCAAAACAGATTATTTCATTTCCACCCCATCTCTCATGCTCAGGACAGGGACATCTGGATGCTAAGGCACTTTGCCCAGGCAAGTTGGCATTAATGTCCTCTTATGATACACTGATGCAGATTCATCTGAAAGCAGCTTCCAGGCAGGAGAGGCAGGGAGTGTTCCAAATGAGCCATACGCAGACATGTTCCCACAGTCCTGAGGACTTGTCAGGCTGTAGGGTCTGTTCATCCTCTGACTGCCTACCCTGCCCACTGTACTTATTACAATGACCATATTTATTGTTCGGGCTGTATTTATTACACTCACTTCCCCCTTTTTCCCACTGTTTCATCAGCAGTAGGTTTACAAGTGCCCAGCTTTATCTACCTTAGTAAGCACGTGAGCTTTGTGCAGCAGCCTAGGATGCAGAAAGCGCCACCTATGCCCTGACACAGCCACCCAGCAATTGCCTCCTGTCCCTTCTGGGCTGTGTGCAATCTCATGCAGCCATGCTGGTATAGTGGGGGCCCTCACCAAATTCGAGGTCCCCCTCATGCCAGGGTAGCTCCTAGATCCAGAGTAGCTCTCAGTTCAGCAGCCTGAGCCAGCCCTCCAGCTCCTTTGCTTTTTGCTCCTCTTGCCCAGCTAGCAAATCTGCACTGCTCCACTCTACAGGCAGTTTCTTGCTGCCCACCCACACCCCCACCCCCAGAAAAATGTTATCAACTCTTACTCCCCTTATGGACTGCAAGCTTGATAGCTACTGCATTTGCATGACTTTAGCACTACAAATGTCCACAGAGCTATTCTTCCCATCTGCTTCTTATCTATTCATAGCAAAAGAAATGTAAGTCTCGGGCAAATTCAGGCTTTTGAAATAAGCTGGCAGTCTTGTTCACTTACAGCTCAATGGAAAACAAGCAGTTACTGTCAGCTGTCAGGAGCCTGAATAAAGCTTTGTTAAGGGCCCCTCTGTCTCTATTTTTGGTTTGGGTGTGGCATGGAAAAAACAATATTTACCATCTCAGTGGCTGTGCCCTTTGTGTATTTGTTTTCATATTCCCTTTCCCCATGTG